TATATTTTATTATATAGATGCTCACATCTTCTAATGCAATATATATATTCCATGACATATTCCAAAGGGGTGTTTATTTATATTGTTCCATTTCTTTAGGTCTAAAACAATGTCATTAGAAATCATGATTTCTCTTTGTTTTAATTGATTCAAGATTTCTGTATCTCACACAGGCTGTCATCAAACTCTAGATGTACAGTTTCCTAAGTGCTGAGATTACAGGCATGTACCACCTTACTTTGTTTAAAAATTATGTTCTTAAATCTTTTGATTATTTGAATTTCCATTTCAGATTCACTGTTTTCTGCAATACAAAACTTTACAGAAATTGCATCTAAGTTCAATAAGAGACTGCAAGACTTAGACAAAAGCAAGTAGGTTCCATATTTATTAATATATGTAATAGATAAAAGAATACCACTTCATATTTTGTTGCTGAAGTATTTTTGGAAATTCTTTTCTTTTTTCTGACTCTCCACTCTAATGAATCCTATTCAGAGTATCAGTCAGAGATTTTCTTACATTTTGAATGGGACCTCTTGCTTTAAAATGCCAGTACCTCCATCAGGCCAACTGATGAGCTACAACATCCCCACTGTAGCAGTGACTCAAGCATCTTCTAATTTGTCTGTTGATTTTCACTGTCCGTATATCATACTTTAGCCAAATTCTCTTATTGCCAGAGCATGCTTCTCTCTCCCTCTGCATGAGTCATTGCTCCCACATAGAGATCATTTCTACCTCCCACTGGCAAAATTCAACTTACCAAGAAAAATAATATTATGAAACCATGATTTTTAGAAGTGCTAAATATATACGATTAATTATGTATAAAACCACAAAGGTAAAACATAGTTTGAACAAATGCAAGAATATTGACTTCCCATTTCATTGAAGAAGTATTTCCAGACTTGGGCAAATTCATTAACTACTGACCCTTAGTTATGTCATTTATGAAATGAAACTACAACCCTGTCCAACATGCAGGATGGCTCTGAAGTTAAAACATATTGTATAAACATTAACAAGAGTGAGAGGTTATTATATGTTGTTATTACTAAAAGTAGCATAAAATGAATGTCTAAGTAAATTAAAGGATAAAATTATTCTTTTCTAAAATGTTGATTTTTTTGTCAATTATACTATGACATAACTAGAATATGTAATTCAGTAACTCATTGTTGAACAACTTAGGGCTTAATGGCATATTTTCAATTGCATCAAATCATTTTTATTGACAATTACAATCTCTCAGCCACACAGCCTTGGGAATGTGAGCTCTGTGAGAGTGTTTGGCATATAATAAATGTTTTAATACTGATAAGAAGATGAAGTAAAGATGAGATTTGTGACATTTGTATTTAGTAATAAGAATATAATATCTTGTCACTTGCTAAATATTTTAAATTTTCCAGACAACTCAATAGATATTAATAGATTTATCATTTCAATATTAATATCTCTTCTATAAATAGATTATTAGGATTCATAAGGTGAAAAAATATCTTGACCACAATTATAAATGTAGCCTTATCAATTTTCCTTACATAAAATTTAATATCATATTTTCTACCAATGTGTAACTGTTTTGATAGTTTTATGTGTTAACTGGATAGTGTTTCATAGGATTTTTAAAAACAGGATTAACATGTTAATGTTCTTTATTCTCATGCTATAATAATTTAAAATGTGCCAGTGATTTTCATTTTGCCTGGACTTTTAGTTTGCTAGGCAGTGTACATATGTTCATGACAATATAACTATATTTTCTTTTTCAGCCCATTATTGTTGAGAATTATGAATGATCAACTGATGTATCTGGAGCGAGCATTCATTGACCCTTTAGGGTTACCAGGCAGGCCTTTCTATAGGTAAGAACAAAACAACTCCATAATCTAATCTCACTTAAAAATTATTTTGCATTATATAAAAGCAACATTTTTTTTCTATTATTTGAATGGGTTTTATTGATGTATATTCACTGTACATCACGTCAGGTTTCAAGAGATCAATTTCTCTCAAATGTATCATTTACTTTGACACTCATCTCAGTCCCATTCTGTACGCTGTTTCCTTTTCCATCTCCCACTAGTCTCTTTCAGTCCTCTGGTGTCCTTTCTATTTTTACCCACCCATGGCTCAGGGTTCATTACAGAAGAGGGGACAGAAAGATTGTGAAAGCCAGGATTGGTGCATGAGCGTATGGAAACAGAAGCTTTCAGACCTCTGTGAACTTGCTCATGAAACTGCAACAATGGTGGCAGCGTGCATGAGATCCGTTCCAACTCAATCACAAAATAATCCATCATAGAATGGGGAAAATGGACATCAGTCCCCAACCCTAGATAGGGAACACTTAGTAAATGATTACTGTGGGGTGAGGGAGAATAAATCTTTAAGGGGGTGACTCCAGATAGGCTTACTAGACTCTGAGTGAATGAACTTGTACCCAGGGATATCTTGATACAAATGCTTGACTGGATAGGACTTAATGAACATGACAAAATACCTGAAATCTGGTGGGGAACAATGGGGGGTTGGAATGGGGGAGAGGTCTAAATTTGATCAAGATATAGTATATGAAATGCACAAAAACACAATAAAAATTAAGAAAAGAATTTTAGATGCCAGGCATGGTGATGTGTGACTTTAATCACAGCCCTCGGAAGGTAGAGGCAGGCAGATCTCTGTGACATTAAGGCCAGACTGGTCCACATAGTGATTTCCAGGCAGGCTGGGACTAGGGAGACCCTGTAAAAAAAAAAAAAACCCCAAAAACAAAGCCGCCAAAACAAACAAACAAATAAAAACAACAAAAGAACCCTATGACCCATAAATAAAAGAAAGTACATGATACTTGTCTTTCTGTGTGCAGTTTATTTTGTTTAATATTATGATTTCCAGTTGTATCCATTTTCCAGCAAACAGCATAATTTCATTCCTCTTTCCTGCTGAGTCAAACTAGATTGTATATATGACAATTTTCTTTATCCTTAAGTTGTTGACAGACGACTAAGCTGATTCCATAACTTGGTTGTAATGAATGGTGGTGCAATAAATATGGGTGTGCAGTTATCTCCTTAGTATGTTGGGGAGAGTCTTTTAGGTATACATCCAGAAATGGTGTACCTGAGTCATACAGTAATTCTATTTGTAGCTTTCTTGAGGTACTTTCATACTAATTCCCACATTAAATGAACAATTTTTGTACTTCAAGTCTTAATGATCTATATAGGTCACCTTTTTCTCACATCCTCGCCAGCATTTGCTATTGTTTATTAGTGATAGCCATTCTTACTGGGTAAAGATGAAACTTCAATTTCACTGATACTTAAGTATGTTGTACATTTTTCTTATGTTTATAGGTCATTTGAGCTTCATCCTATGAAGACAGTTTGTTCAGTAATTCATTTTTTCAATGAGTTGTTGGGGTTTTGGTCTTTAGTTTTTTTTTTTGATTTCTAGATATCAGTCTTCTCTCAGATGTGTATTTAATAAAGATTTTCTCCAATTTCATTGGCTGTATCTTCATTTGATTATCTCCTTCGCTATGCAGATACTTTTGAATATAATGCAATTTCATTTGTCAATTACTTGTTTTACTTCCTGAACTACTGGAATACTTTAAGAAATTCCTTGCCTATACCTGTATCTTGAAGTGCTTTCCTCTAGTAGTTTCAGGTCTTACATTAAGGTCACTGTTCCATTTTAATTGATTGTTGTTCAGGGTGAGAGATGGGGATAGTTTCAGTCTTCTACATGTGGCTATGTAGTCTTCTCATCACTGTTCATTGAAGAGACTGCTTTTTCTTCAATGTATGTTTTTTTACATCTTTTTCAAAAATCAGATGTTGATGACTGTATGGGTTTGTTTCCGGGTCATCTCATCTATTCCATTTATCCACGTGTTGGTTTTTCTGTTATATTCTTTTTTTTTTTGTTTACTATGGCTGTGTAGTGTGACTTAATCACATATTGTGATGCTGCCAACATTGTTATTTTCCTCAGGATTGCTTTGACTACTGGCGACTGTGATGGTTCATTTTGATAGTCAACTCGATGAGATTTTTGAATGTCTATGATATCAACTTCTGGGTATGAGGTTCTTTCCAGAAACTTTTAACTGAAGTGGGAAGACACATATTGAGTGTAGGTGGCACCTTTCCATGACCTGAAGTCTGAACTTAATAAAAGGGAGAACGTGAGTGGAGCCAGCATTCATCTCTCCCTGATTTTTGACTGTGGATACAGTGACCAGCCATTTTATACTCCTGTGGCGATTCATCACCCACTCTACTAAACTGTACTCTCAAACCATGAGCAGACTATATCATTTCTTAGATAGCTTTTATGAGTGATTTGTCACATCAAAGAGTAACTTACAAAGACAGAAAATTTGAAGTGATAATGGGATTGTTACTTGATAAATCTCACTATAGTTATTTTTAAAAAACTATTTTATTTTTGATTTATGTGTATGAGTGTATAGCTTGAATGTATGTAAGCAGACCCATGTTATGCAATGCCCACGGAGGTCAGAAGAGGGTGTCAGATCCCTTGTATCTGGAGTTACAGAAGGTTGTTAGCAGACATGTGGATGCTGGGAATTGAAGGAGGGTCTTCTGCAAGAGCAGTGTTCCTAACTGCTGGGCCTCTCCAGCTCCTCACTATAGTTCTTAATTATTTCAAACTGGCTTGTAGGAAGAATGGAGTTATAGTATAGAGAAGTCCCAGAATCTGGTAAGCAGAACTTACTGGATCTTTTCGTGGAAGTGTGGAAGATCAAAATGCTGAGATAAATGGGGATGGTGGATGCTCAGCTCACTAGGTTGCAGAGGAGCACAAGAACACTACTGGGAACTGGACTGAAGGGTTTTGTGTCATATTCTAATAAAGAATCTGGTTCCACCCTATCTGGCTCCTGAGAACTTGAATGAGGCCAAATTCAAAAGTAATGCACTACATTGTTTGGTGGAAGTCTGTGTTTAGAAACTTGTGCTCATCTAGCATTAAAATCGTTCATGAATTGGCTTTTCAATAAATCATTATATATATGACTATAATCATGTTTTTAATGATGTCATGCTTTAAGTTAATGATTATAAAATAAGAATTCATCTTTTTTAAAGAGAAAATAAAAAAAGGCCCACAGTAGTAGTCAGTTGGCTGAGTACAAACAGTACTTTAGTGATCACAGCATTGCTGTGTCTCAGAGGATAATCTGATGTAATAAAAGCATCACTACCAGTCAATGTTAGTTGAGACAAACTATTTATTGCTTTTCCTTTCATATCTCACTTTCCTTTCCTGTGAAACACTAGTATCAACTTTGTAGAGTTTCTTTTAAAACCTTATAAAAATTGCAAATCACCTTTTCAATACCAAGCATGATCATATTAGCTGTCATTATTGTTGTTTTTAAAGCTCTGATCCACTTGGTGTTAGCCATTTAGGGGAATAATTATGTATGTTACTGTGTCTGGAGATTATTAAACTCAGAAGTTCAATGAGCACGTGGCTTCCTCAAAGTCATAAACTCAAGTGCATTCCATTCGAAGATAGAGTGCTTTTGTCCATGATTGTACTGTTTGTGAAACTAATAGACAACAATCTGCTTTATCAACAGGCATATCATCTATGCCCCAAGCAGCCACAACAAGTATGCAGGGGAGTCATTCCCAGGAATTTTTGATGCTCTGTTTGATATTAAAAGCAAAGAAGATCCTTCCAAGGCCTGGAGGGAAGTGAAAAGGCAGATTTCCATTGCATCCTTCACAGTGCAAGCTGCAGCTGGGACATTGAGAGAAGTAGCCGAAGGGCATTGAGAGAATCCTTACTGAGCTGCTATTGCATCCATGGGAATGTTGATAAATTAAAATACAACTGTTTGACATTTTATGTTTATTAGTTTGTAGGTGTACATAACACTGTATCCCCCACCCCCTGTGGATCAAAAAGGAAAAATGGTTAATTTTTGTTATATAATTGTAGAATGCTATACTGTAGCTTGAAGCTGAATTAAGAATTAAAACTATGGTGAACATTCTAATATAATAAAACTTTTATCTGGTATTGTCAAGAAATCAAAGTCTAAGCATTTCCTGATCTAAACATGTCATCTCACATAAAGTAATGCATTATTTTCTTTGGAACACACTGGGGACAGTCCACAGGCTGTTCCACCCAAAGGACTAGATGCTGCCTAGTGACAGGAGGCTGAGAGGATCACTTTTTGCCACATTAGATGGTAAAGTCTTATCTAGTCATACTTCTAGTAAACATTTTCATTCTATATTATAAAAGCTGATTATTTAGAGAGAAGAAATATCTTGTTTGCTGGGTGTGGTGGTGCATGCTTTTAACCCCAGCACTCAGGAGGCAGAGGGAGGGGGATCTATGTGAGATTGAGACCAGCCTGGTCACAGCAAATTGCAGATAACCTGGGTCTACAAAAAGACCCTGTCTCAAAAAAAAGAAAGAAAGAAAGGAAAGAAAGAAAGAAAAGAAAGAAAAAGAAAGACAACAAGACCAACACACCTCAATCTCCTTTATATAAAACTATGTATAACATATAAAGTGAAAAATAATAAATATATAGTACCTTTTCTGCAAGAAATGATCACTTGAATTTCATGCTTTTCATCCTATTTTATTTGCTATGTTTTCCACATTCGACTGTATCCATGACTTGTCTGTCTCTCAGTCTCTGTGCCTCTGTGCCTCTATCTATCTATCTATCTATCTATCTATCTATCTATCTATCTATCTGGTGTGTGTGTGTGTATATATATATACTCTGTCATTAAAATCAGACCATTTATAATTTTTGGTATTTATTATTTGACTTTGAGCACTTTTAAGGTGTCAATAGTCCCATTGTTTATCGATTACCTTGCTACACCACTATGACTTGTGTAACTGTGGCATTTATTAGCAAGGGTCAATTAAAGATGGAAATCATACCATGAAGTGAGCAGGGAAAGTCAGTGCAAAGAATGAACAGTTACATCAGGATCAGTGCAGTGAAGTACCACCAAACAAAAGTTAAAGAGAATTTTAGATATAAATAGGAGACATAAGGAGTTGTCCCTATATTGGTAATCTCCATCAGTAATTTTAATAGTTTCTTGTGTGCACCTTTAAATTCTTACTCAGAAATTTAAGGCTGAAAAAATTATTTGATTTAGTAGTCTATCTAAACAGCTGACTTTACAGTGCAAACTATGAAAGCCAGAAGAGCCTGGACCAAAGTATTCCCAGTTTTAAATCACCACAGATGCTAATCCAAAATATTTACTAGCCTAAATGTCTATTATAGTTGAAGGGTAAGAAAAATATTCCATGGCATAAATAGACTGAAAGAATTCATGTCTGCAAAACCAGTCAGTAGGAGAATTCTTAAAGCAATACAAAGAGCTGAAGAAAGGAATGACTATACCCAGGAGGTAACAGAAAGAAACTAAATGAAGATATAACCGTGGAAATGCACAATTAGACCAAGAATGTAAACAGAAATCAAAATGACAGGAATCAACACACATCTTTCATTAATAACTTCAAATATTAGTTGATTAAACTCCTTAGTCAAAAGATACAGGGTAGTTGAATGGATTAAGAAACAAAACCCATCTTTTTGCTGTCTGCAATAAACACATCTCACTTTTAAGGACAGGCAATACTTTAAAGTGAAGGGATAGAAAAATATATTCCAAGCAAATAGTACTAAAAGAAAAGCAGGAGCTGCAATTTTAATATCTGAAAAAACAGACTTCAAACTAAAATTAATCAGAAGAGAAAAAGAGGGCCACTTCATTCTGATCAAAGGAACAATTTACCAAGAGATACTACCATCATGAACCAACTCTGGTGCACCCAAATTCATAAAAACAATACTACACAACTTTAAGACCTAGATTAACTCCAACTCATTAATAGTAGGGGATTTCAATACTCCATTGTCTCCATTAGACAGGTCAAGAGGAGATAGAATAAACAGAGATAGCTGAATTAAATAATACCATACCTCAAATGGACCTAAGCGATATCTATTGAATTTTCCACCCAAGCACCAAAGAATATACTTTCTATGCAGCACCCCATGGAAAATTCTCCAAAATCGACCACCTACAAAACAAAACAAAACAAAACAAGACTCAACAACTACAAAAAGATTGAAATATTTCCTTGCATTCTATCAGACCACAATGCAATAAAGCTTAAAACCAACACTGGAAGAAACTCTAGTAAAAACAAGAACATATGGAGATTAAACAAGACACCCCTGAATGCTGAATGGGTCAAAGGAGAGATTAAGAAAGAAATAAATGTATTACTGGAACTAAATGAAAAGGGCAATACAGCAAAACAAAACCTCTGGGACACTTTGAAAGCAGTACTTAGAGGGAAGTTTATAGTTCAAAGAGCCTACATTAGAAAAATCAGAAAGAAAACAAATAAATGACTTAACATTGCAACCAGAGATACTTGAAAAGCAACAACAAATGAAACCCAACACCAGCAGACAAAAAAAAAAAAAAAATCAGAGCAGAAATTAATGAAATAGAAACAAAAGAACAATATAAAGAATCAGTGAATCCAATATCTGGTTCTTTGAAAAAATAAACAAGATTTACAGACCATTAGTACAGTTAACGAAAAGAAAGAGCACATCCAAATCAACAAAATCATAGATGAAAAGGGAAACATCACAACGGACACCAAAAATATCCAGAACATTGTAAGGGAATACTTTAAAAACCTATATGCGACCAAACTTGAAAACCTAAAAGAAATGGATGTGTATCTAAAATCATGGGGATCACCAAAACTAAACCAAGAAGAGACCAACAGCCTAAACAGACCCACACCTCATAAGGAAATTGAAACAGTAATACAAAACCTCCCATGTAAAAAAAAGCCCAGTACCAGATGGATTTACAGGTGAATTCTACCACATATTTAAAGAAGATCTATATCCAATACTACTTAATATATTCAAAAAGATAGAAATGGTGGGAGAACTTCCAAATCCTTATATGAAGCCAGAAGCACTCTAATTCCCAAACCATGTAAAGACACAACCAAAAAAGAAAACTATGGACCCATATCATTAATGAACATATATATAAGAATTCTCAACAAAATATTTGCAAACTGCATATCAACAAACGTTAGAAAGGTCATCCACCATGATCGAGTCAACTTCATTCCACAAACGCAGGGATAATTAAATACATGTAAATCAATAAACGTCATAAATAATATAATTGGACTCAAAAACAAAAAGCACATGGTCATCCCAATAGATGCAGAGAAGGCCTTTGACAAATTCAACATGCATTTATGCTCAAAGTCCCAGAGGGAATTGGACTGGAGGGAACATACATTAACATAATTAAAACTATATACACAAACCCACAGCAAATATCATTCTCAATGGAGAAAAACTGGAAGCATTTCCACTAAAATTAGGAACCAAACAAAGCTGTCCACCATTTTCACTCCTTTTTTATATAGTGTTTGAAATGCTTGATAGAACAATAAGACAAAATAAGGAAATTAAAGGAGTAATAATTGGAAAATAAGAGGTCAAATTATCCCCCTTTGCATGTGATATGATTATATATCTAAGAGACACCAAAAAAAATCCCACCAGAAAACTGCTGGAAATGATTAACAATTTTGGTAATGTGGCAGGTTAAAAAATTAATCTAGAAAAGACAGTAGCCTTTTATATACCAATAACAAGCAGAGAAAGAATACTGCTTTCAGAATAAATCTGACCAAAGACAATAAAGTCCTCTGCAGTGAAATTTTTAATTCATTAAAGAATGAGATTGAGGAAGACAGAAAATGGAAGGATCTCCCATGCTCATGGATTGGAAGAATTAGAAAATGACCATCCTACCAAAAGCCATTTATAGATTCAATGGAATGCCAATCAAAATCCTATTGCAGAGACACTTGTAAATCCATGTTTATTGTTGCTCTTTTCAGAATAGCTCAGAGATGGAAGCAACCTAAGTGTCCCTCCATTGATGAGTGGATATTGAAAATGTGGTACATCTACACAATGGAGTTCAACTCAGCTTTAAAAATTATGAAATCATGAAAATTTTAGGTAAATGGATGGAACTAGAAACTGTTAAACTAAGTGAAGTAACACAGACTCAGAAAAACACACAACATACGTTCTCCTCCCTCTTATGTGGATCTTAGCACCAAATCCTTATAAGTGAGTATATATCCAGACATAACTATAGGAACCAGAATAATGAAAAGGAACCAGGGAAGTACAGGGAAGGAAAGAGCCTGAGAGAGAACAGCAAGAAACAGCTGTTACTAAGGGAGAAATGGTTAAAAATAGGATGATTTAAATGAGAGGGGGTGGGAGGGTTATGTAAGGAACCTTGGGTATAAAGGGAAAGAAGGAGCTCAAGAGAGGTGCAACCATACGAGACAGGTACTACCAAGGGAGAAATGGAGAAAATGGGGACACTTTAAATGGGGAAACCATGTTGGAAGGGTTAGACAGTGAGAGAGTGAGGGTAGATAAACAATTCCTAGCTAGTTGACAGAAGAAAACAAAGGAAATAGAAGCAATCCCATATTCTATTTTCAATCAATATTTGACAGAGAAGCCAATATCAAATTCATGCCATATCGAAAGACTAGACTTATAAAACTCATTATGTGATTTTTGATAATTCACACACAATAAAATGAAGGTGTACAATTACTGTATAGCATATGAGGTTATTATTTTAAAATAATTTAGCAGCATAAATGAATACAAACCCTATAAATTATTATTGTGTTTTGCAATTTCTCATTTAACATAACTACAAAATGATAAGATGAATTGCCAGTCTGCATACTTCTCTTGCATTTTGATCCTCCATTCTGCTGCCAGAATGACCCATTAGGTTCTAAGACTTTTCTGG